ATATAAATTTTTATGACGTCACAAACCTCGCCATGTGACCAACATTCTAAGATTTCTATTGGTTGAAAATTACCCTGTTGTCAGGTTGTCTTGTTAATGATTTCATTCGGTTATGTCAGAAAATACCCGAAGAGGTTATGTACAAATACTGTCACTGTCAGTTGAGTGAAAGATGGTCACCAAATTCATTAAGTACCTATCTTCCTTATTACGAGGTATCATATTACTGTTTGATATTTTAGAGTCCAAGATATATCAAAAAGAATATAAAGAACTAGGCATTATACTAATGAAATGCATTTACGACAAAATATGATTATAATTATAGGTACTTACTTTATTTGTTTAAAAGCTCTAATGTTCAATGTAACCAACCATTCCACAAGATTCCTCTGCTTTGGAGTCCGTTATTAATAAATCACTTATCTAATATCAATTACAAATAACAACAATAACATTTATTTTCAATAATCTAAATTTAAAAAAACAACCAGAAAAAAAGAAACGTCAAAAAATCAATTCTTCTTCTTCTCAACTAAAATTTGGATCAAGTGGTTTTAAAACTAAAATATTATAACGTGGCGCCATCTATCGTAAGATTCTTAAACTAAACACACTGGCAACCATAGAAAAAGCTGGCAACGTTGTCAATAGCCTAGTGACGTAATTAGTAGATTTTTTTTGTAAATATCTCGAAAACGGTAAACTCAATTGAAATTCCGATTTCACAGAAATGTTTAAAATTACAAAACGCCTTGAATAAAACCATAAAAAGTATAGGTCAGAAAAAATTTAACTACCCCATTGTTTGCGACTAATTAATTTTACCTGACGGAATATTTGTTAGTTAAAGGTTGCGGATTTCGTATTAACTAGTGTTAATATTATTGGGTATTATATGGTCATGCAATTTTGGTAACTACTTATCTAATTTATGCAGACTTAGACTTCGGGATAATTGCCAGGCAGGTGTGATGAAATTGACCTTTAACGCATGTGGTAGACCAGGAAATTATTCATTGGAACTGTTCGTCTCTTTCACACCTTTTATCCAGGTAAAACACCTGAGGACTTAATCCAGGGGGAGGTACCACACACAATTTGCACTCTTTTGCACTTGGGACAGTTATCACGTGTAGAATCGTTATTGATTTTTTTGTTATTGAACTTTAGAGGTGATGGAACTATGAAAGAAAGTACGCGCCTATCGAGACGCATGACGCGACGCGTCCGCTCAGCTCAAGACTCACTGCGTCACTGCACCCAAATATTATAAAGATGCTTATAGTAAATTTTGTAAATTAATGCTAGTCTAAAAAAAACAGCGCATGATGCCATTATGGCTCTAGATAAAGTGTTTCAAGAAATTGGACAGAGTAAAAAAGTCATTACCGATAGGAAAACGGCATTTTCATCTAAGAAATTTGGTGAGTTCCTTGAGGCTCTTGGTTGTGAACTACACTTAATAGCTACAGGACTGCCCAGAGGTAATGGTGTAGTAGAGCGCCTGATGAGAACCAAATTTAATCTCATGCGACCGCACAAAAAGAGAACAAATGGATCCAAATATTACCTCAAGTTGAAGATAGTATTAACTTAACACACTGCTTATGTTTGGAAAAAACTCTCCCTTGGCTGCGACAAAATCCTTATTGAAAAATATTTATCAACCCTTGGTAAATTTAAAAAATGTAAAAGACAGACTTATCAAAAAAATAAAAGATAGTTCAAAAATAAATAACAATAATAATAAAAGATACTACAGAGATTACCTGTGTTGTTGTTGAATGCATATTGTTTGATTATAGATACCACTAAGCAATGATATGGAGAGATTCCCTAATAAACCCATAATGAGAGATTAAGAAGTTCTTAATCAATTTGGTAGAAAAAAAAAACAGTAGACTATCTACTTTCGTGGGCGCACCGCGTTAGTTGGAAGTACCAACATGCTAAGATTGAAGTAGAGACTATCTAATTTCGTTAGCGCACCGCGTTAGTTGGAAATACCAACATGCTAATATTGAAGTAGACAGTATACAGTATATATATATATATATATATACTTTTGTGAAAGTGAAGTTGTTAACTATCAGGCATGAGGACATGCCAGGAGCAGGATGGCCGTGTAGTATTTTATTGTTTTACAAAACATTTAACGGTACGCGATGATCTCATGAGATCATCACAAACAAAAGTTTGAGATGTTGTATAACAATTGCTTTTAGAGTGACAAACTTAAGGTTTGTTCGTGTTGTAATGGGCACGATATATGGGCCAGTTAATTTTTAACATTTCTTAATTTATTATTTTAATGCTTTACGAAATATGAGACTGGTTCTAAATATTTAACTTGAAATTGTATCAAGTGTGAATTGGTAACTTAATATTTAGACCCATTCTGTTTATATTATATAATTTATTAGGGCCATATTTTAACCTAAGCATTTTAAGAGCTAAAGCCAGTGTCAGCAAATTACTAGAATAGTGTTTAGTCTGTGTTAGTTGGGAGGATATTTTAAAGAAACCTAAACACCTCTAATGGTAGACCTACGGGTTGATGTCTTTAAGCATTTGATGATGCACTAGGGAGACTTACCAATACCGCACGTATGTCTGAGCCATATCGGTAGAGACTCTCTAGTAGAGAGATAAGGTTTGTACGTTCTAAATGAACTATATATCGATAGGCCTGTTTGGCTTTGATAAAATAAACATAAAAAGAGCGTGTTAAATACTTAGAGAGGACAGTATATTTTGGGCAGTTACGTGTTGCTATTTGAAGGGATTAGTTTAATTCTTTAATTTTGAAGAGTTGGGTTTTGTTATTTAAAGAGAGTAGTTATTTAATTTATCCATTGATTTTTATATAACTTCAGTTTTTGTGGAAGTGTTGTTTAGTTATATAGGTATGTCTTTTCTATAATTAAATATAATAACTTAAAGTCACAAATATCATAATAAGTGGTTAATTAATTAATATTTAATTTAAACTATATTTTATTTACTTCTTTGTTAAAGAAGTATTTTTTTTTGAGTTGTGGTTGGACAAACTTAGTTACGTATTTATTATAATTATTATTTTATGTTTACTATTTTAAATATTTACATTTTATTATTGTTATATTGTAATGCAATGTATCATGTTATTACATATTTCTATTTAACTTTTACTTACTTTGTTTTGTACAGTTTACATTATTTTGTTTATTTGATAAATTAATTGATATTCTTTATTTAATATGTTGAGAATTTTTTGTCAATCCTGAGCCATGTATGGTTGGTCCTAGGATGTAAAATACATTTATTTCGTTGTGTGTTTCGCGATCTTGCTATTTATTTAATTTTGTTAATCGATCTTTGGGGACCTACTAAGGGAGTAGACACTATGATGTGCGCTGAGTCTTAGCCCCTTAATTTATTAACAAAATATGTTTTTATTGTTGTTGGCCAATTTAGCTATGAAGTATGAACATATGATGTTTGTAATGAAAGAGGCATGTGCATGTGCACGAGTATACGAGGGCCGTCCGAAAGTGAATTGAGTTAGGGCTAAGTTTTGTCTCATAGTCTCAGTTTTTATTTACTTTGATCATTATTTTACGCTACTATTCTCCAAACTATTATATTTTATATTATACGAACTTAAAATGTTTTATTGATATTTTTATGACTTTATACATCTAAATGTATTTATTATTTATGACTGTACACAAATTTTATTGCATTACGGTTGTCCACCGCAACAACACTTGTTATTTATATCTTTTATTTACCACTACTATTTATTATGTTCTCTGTGACTTAAGTTACATGCTATTTTATTTTACACATTGTTTTTGTTTGTTGCTATACATTGATAATAGTTTCAATTTGTATTTGCTATTTAAACACCGTCCGAGCCTAACATTTATGTAGGTGAATAATCTTAACAATATGATAATATGATTGATGATATTCTATTTGATTACTTGATTACTTTGATTTTGTTATATTATTTATATTGTTTAGATGTGCGATACATATGCATGTCTGGATTGTATATGTGGGTTTTTAAGGTTTTACCTTATTAACTTAAATCAATGATACTTTTCAAATACAAATGTTTTTATTTATATTATTAATGTACAGTAGCAATAATATTAACTTTTGTATTAATTGTTTTCATTAATAAACTTATTTTAATTTAATACTTCTTCTTTGCTTTTTAAATATCTTTTCAATTGCTCAAGTACTTACGTATCCAGAACCGTATTCACAACAAAAAGGGGTCCTAATTTAATTTCTTTAAACTAGACGATCACGTGTTTTGGCCAAAGGTAGTTTTTTTGTGGTTTTAATATTTTTTTTAATTATTAATGTGTGCCCCCTTGCCCCCGTTCGTTACAGTGTTCGCGAAATAAACGGTTAAGAACTGTCAGAACCATGCGCATTACAAAATTTGCGTTCGGGTTTTTTTAGAACCATTTTGAAACTGGTGAATATGGTGTTTTGGTTTCTTTTGTGGACGATTCAGGACTAGTCCAAAACCCTTCAAACTAATACGAGCTCAGAGTGCGTACTCTTTAGAACAGTTTTCGTGGCGCCTGCGCATTGGACTCGTTTTAATTTATGTTTAAATACTTATAGCGTTGAGTGATTTAATCAATGCTTATAGGTTAGGTGCTTTGATTAATTTTCTTTATGAAAATTCAGACTCATAATAATAATAATAATAATGTTTATTGTAAAAAGAAAGAAGGTAAATTTCACAATTGGCAAGAGTTCGGCAAATCCGATCCATGTAACATTTTAAGTACATGAATAAATAAATAATTTTCATAGCAATATAATACATAAACAAAATATTATAACAATATAAAACATAAAAAATTATTAAAAATAAACAACATTTCAAATTCATTATTATTAAATGTCTAACTGCAAACTTCGTACAAGCGACACCTACATGGGATTTTAAAAACCACCGTAAGCGTTTTATTGTCGTTAAATTAGTCAGTCACGGAACGCTGTTTGAGCGCGTACTGTATTAAATTGTGGATTTGAGCTGTGCCTTATAAGATTTGTAATAAGAATCTATTACATATATGTGAAATTTACATTGAAATACTGAAAAATATCTCATAACTCGCAAATCCTGTGCACGGCACTGCATGTAATATAATACTTTTTCATATTATACTTTAGGTTTATTTATTGAATCAATCGACTTGATAAACATTTTTCTAATATTATAATGTGGCATTGGTAAGTGTTTATCATAATAGTACTTACATCATCATTTAATAAACAGAACAATCTAAGTTAATAATGGATTTACGACATAATTTAAACGGTAATGTAAAAAAAATTCCGTTCTTGCTTTTATTTCAACTGGTAGGTACTTTTTTTTAGAGAAAATAAGATATCAATCTTTAACAAAGGAATATTTACCGAGCGCTTTAGAATGCATGAAGAATTCCTTTTACAAATATGAAAATGTTTGTAATGCAGTTGGACTACCACATCATCCGGAGGCAATAAGTGAACTAGAAGAACTAACTCTTAGAACAGCAAATGATGGCCTATCAGTAATTGCCATAGACACTAAAGAAAATATAGTTTGTGGAGTATCTTTTAACAAAGTACAGGTAGGTAGGTAACAGTTAGTTACCTAGTAACTATTAGTTATAATCGGTTAGTTAAATTTGGTTATAATAAAACCGATAATATTGGACATAAATACCTACAACGTTACTGTAGCTTCAATTAAGATTTGGCACTAAACTTCTAAAAATAATACATCTAAATGTAACGCACTCCAAAGAAAGGACCTTGAGCATCTCACAGAAGAGAAGTGCTAATATGCAATAAGAAGCAGCTGCCTTAGAGAGTTTCTAGTAGAGACTCGAAAAAATGTAATCAAACGCCAGGTTACTTGTCCGATTTATAATTCCCAGCAGTTACAGTTACAGTTTTGAAGAAACTTTTTTCTAAAATAAAGAAGAAAATATTTTGAATTGTTTTTTACCGGATCGATTGTAAATCGGCTTTTTAACCTTTTGTCGTAAAAAAATATACAATTTTAAACGAATTTAAACAAATTATTTAAAAAAATGTATTGGACTGATGTCCATTTTGTTTTAATAATAAATATTTTTTACCCTACAAACCATGCCAACGTCGAAATAACATTGACATTCTTAAATGCCTATAATAACTTTAATTTGCAATAATAATAATAAAAATAATAATAATAATAATAATAATAATAATAATAATAATAATAATAATAATAATAATAATAATTAAAATAAGTCGTAATATTATTTAAAAAAATATACTTATACAAAAAGAGGTATAACAATGATTTAGCTTTGTCTGATATCCTTTACTCATATAACAAATATAATATTATATTTGTTAATATAATACTATAATAATAATTTTATACTATGATATATTTGTTTAAATCGAAAAAAAAAACCATTTAGGTTTTGTCGACACAGCATGTCGAACTGACATGACGACGTCGATGAAAATGCTGGGCAGTAAAGTAACCGACATTTTTATCAATTTTGTGCCGACAGGGTTTGTAGGGTATGTCCCAATTTTCTTTTTGTTTTAAAGTAAAAACAAAATAAAAAATTTGAAAAAACAAACAAAAAACAGGACAAGAATAATAAGGAATAATTTTCCGCCCCTAAGAAACTATTCCGCATATTTCTCTTCGTAAGTAATTTCCTGTAAACGACGGTATATGACATCGCTTCACTTATATAAGCCAGCCGGTTCTAGAAAACTCTCGTGAGATCGATCGTTCCGTCGACAGCAACTAGAAACTTTTAAATATTTTTTTTGTTAAAACCAAATATGTTTTGGCAAGGTACATTACTAAAACTGATTTGGTTTTAATATGCTCAACGTTATGGGTCTAAATAAAATATATGAAACTAAATAACACCAATAATTTTTGGTAATTATTAAACAAATTTAAAAAAAAATGCCATAGGTATATAATATATGATATATTTTGTCTTTTTAAATTGCTATTTACATTTGTTTTTCATTTAAGGTAAAAAATAATGAAGCAGAAGGCACTTATTTTGAAAATTTTGCAAAAAATTGCAAATACTCCTCATCCAGAGGTGTAGTTCAATACATGAAAGATGCTGATTCAATTTGTGATTTATTCGAATATTGTAATGTTGATTGTATACTGGAAATAATGTTTCTTGCAACATTACCAGAATATACGTCGAAAGGGATCGCCACGAAACTATGCGAATTAAGCATTGATTTAGTTAAAAAGTTAAAACAAGAAATCAATGTAAAACAGTCTATGGATGGACAAGAAATTCCACTGGAGCCTATTCCAAAAATAGCTGCCGCTCTCTTTACGTCTAATATAAGCCAAAGGGTTGGAAGAAAATTGAATTTTCAAATTGCTGCTACTGATAGTTATGATAAATATTTCTATAAAGGTGTGGCCTTTTCTAATGTTATAGGGCCAACAACACCATATTTTACATTAGAATTTAAAGTAATTGAATAATAAACATGTATTTCTACCTACTGTGTTTCTTTTGCCTAGTGTTTATCTGAACTTGAGTGATTATAATCATTATAATGACTGCTTATGTGAGCCCTTATTTATGGGTTCTTTGGCCATGCTTGCTGTTCTTATAGAAACTATTGGCGACTAATTATTTTTTACCTGGTGAAGTTATTTATAAGTTGAGATTTTGCGATTTTCTCATTAAAATTTAGTATTTGGGTTGGGTCATCCAATTTTGGTAGATTTACTTATCCGGTTTATTTAGACTTTGACTTCAGGTGCATTGACAGGCAGGTGTTGTGAAATTATTCCTTAACCTCGACAGCCAACTATTAGCACGTGTGGTTTTTGTGTTGGTAGTCCAGGAAAAATTATTCGTTATATTCAATCATCTCACTTACCAAAATCTTTTGAGCCAAAAACGAAAAATGATTTCGTCTATGTGTTTAATGCAGAGTACAATTTCTGCTGAACACATAGTTTGGCTACGTCCTCTGGACGGTAGATGTCGCTGAGAACTCTCGTTCGCTGTGTTTTCACCGCTGTTCTGTGGCAATTCTTGCTATAAGAGCGGCAGGTGCATTTTGTTTCGAGTGTGCTTCGGTCCAACAAGGCTACCTGACACTGATGAGGACCAAAAGTCCGAAACAGGCTGTCTGTCGGTGCCTGGTTCGAAGCACATTCGAAATAAAAGCACAGTGGCCGAGGTGATTGGCATTTTCACATCTCACTTACCCTTTTTCACAGGTAGAGCACTTTGGGACTTAATCCCTAGGAGGTCGTGGATGACAATGTCGATGGTTAAGGCCACTTACGGAATTTTGTCGCCGAGTCGGACCATAAGCCCAGTTTAGGCTAGTGGAGAGCTGGACAAGGAGGGTAAATGTTGTTTTTTGAGGACATTTAACTAACCCAAAACTAAGTACAATCCGGAATCCTCCTCAACCGGGGCTTAAGTAATAACCCCATTCAATTGGGTTTCATGAATGGGGGTAGAAGTGTGCGCTGCTATAACCTGTCCTTGTTGGTGTACATCCTGAACGTCTGTTCGAGTCGGTTTCCGGTTCCTGGTAACCGCTTTAGAATTGTTTGCCCCCTGTGAGGTACTGAATCTTGTCTTCAGTACCGAAGTGTTGACGGCCGCGACTCGCCGTAAGTGCCCTTTGCCTTCGTGGATATGTGGATATTCAACTCCTCATGCCGAGTACCGACTACCGACTTTGTATATTCTTAATTTATTTTATTGTTAAATTAATGTATCAACCGTTTACCATTCTTACTTTATCAAATTTAATTTAAAAAAATTAATATTAAAGGTAAATATTAATATACAAAATAGATAAAGCCGGCCCTGTAGTGTACGTAATAAATTTGAAATACGGCCCTAATTGGCGGGCATTGACAGTTTAATAGAATGGGTATGTTTTTGTTTGGGGAGTGCAAACCTAAAAAATATTAGTCTTAATTCTTCAATAATAAGAAAATATTTTAAAATTTGGTAATTTAGTCCAGGCTCCTTATACGATTTTAAACTTAACATATAGGAATTTGTACAAGGCTTTTGAGTGTGGACTTTTGGCAAGTTCTAACCAACCGTGAAAAATCCACCTTGCCAACACTTGGTTTTGGAACAACCATAAGTAGCCTGGACTTGGCCTGGACTAAATTACCATTAAACAAGCTATCCTAAATAATTCATAATTCACAAAATTATTTCTGACACCAGATAAATATAGAGTACTACTTAATTTTTCTACATAAATCATAATTCATAAATCGTTTTTTGGACGCTCAGATCTCTTTCTTTGGAGCGCATACCTATATTGTAATATTTTTATAAAATAAGACGAAGTTAGCATTAAATTGACAGATAAATAAGTTTATAATTATTTGTACTCAAATCTGGGTTAAGTGGTAGAGCAGGGTATAATTTTTTATTTATTGTAATGGTCCGTAAAAATACCCCCTTATAAATTTATTAGAATACATGTTTATAAATATATTTTATTTTTCTAATTTTAAAATAGGATTAAGTTATAAAATTTTATTTTTAAGGCAAATAAAATTTTAAATATGTCAAGCAAACAACAGAGTACATGTGGCATACACATTGGGCAAGGGATTTCCACCAGAGTTAAACGAAGAGGGTTTTTGAAAAGGAAAAATGAGGCAGAAGCGTTTTGAATTTGGTACAGTACAGTTCGTTTTCGTTGGTAAAATTGTTAAAAAAAAAGGTTAGTTCTAAATATTTAATCTATTTAAATGTGTAGTAAAATTAACTAAACGTAATATTGTGCATTTTTAAATTGTTAATATTATTATTATATGATTATTACTATTATGAGTATATTTATCCTTTACTATTACGTTTAGCTGTATTTTACGTTATTTTTAACCCTTTTCTTTTAGTTATTACCACCCCTATTTTCGCTTTTACTATTATCACTATAATTTTAATAATTTGCTATGCTCAATGCTTGTACCACTCAAATGTAACCTTGTATTTTGTTTGTGCTTAACCCATCATTTTGTACCTTTTCTATAACGTGGTTAAGCATTGTTTTATGATCAGTCCAAATTTATTGATGTATTGCGAAATTACTCGGTGCTTAACCAGGAGTGCTGACCGTTATTGTCCAACTTTGAGTACTCTTTGTTTGTGTGCGTGGGCCTTTGTTGTATGAACTAATCATTTTCTCCCCTGAGGGGAACAGGTTGCCCTAGGTTCTCTAGGGTTGCATCGCTTTTCCCCGACCCCTCAACTAAAATAGGCGGGTTGCCTCCCATATTGGGACCCCGTTACATTCTGGGCATAGCCCGGGTAACTTATCAATTTTTCATAAAACTTGTTTTAAACGAACCTAGGGTAAAGAGAAATCTTTACAATATCTGAACTTTGTTGATGCATTTCAATCGAAAACGCTGCGTCTTCGATTGACATGCAAATTTTGGTTATATATCTAGGGATATATTCTCGGACAGAACATAAGTTGGCTAGAGATAACGAAGGTTGGCTGCACTTCATTCACGCAAAATCTTCCATGTTCCATCTTGCAATATTAAACACAACATCATCAGCTTAATGGAAGTAATGAAGGTGATTTTAGAGTTGCAAACAAAACATGAAGAAAGACTACGTAAAGTTTACATTTCTTTGGCGGTGGACATTAAGAAAATCGCTACCAAATTTTATTCATGTGCACTGGAGTATTTAAATCGGACAAAACTTCAAACATCAACTTTTCTTCACATAAATTGGATTCTTTTGGATTCTCAGCTCACATGGACTAATATTCAGACTTCTAATAAAATAATTACTTTCCCCAACAAGAATGTTAATGAAAACGAACTCTTTAATGAGGTTATAAACTTGAAAGCATATATCACAGATTCAAAAATAAACGAGTGGACAGAAAACTCCATCCCAATTGACCAAAGATGGGTAGAAATTTTTGGCCATTTAAAAAAGAAAAAATATCCTTTTCAACAACATTTTATAACTCGTCGAATACTCCTTGAGTTTACCAGGAACCAATGCAATGCTCCGATTGAAAGGGTTTTCAGTATAATTAACAACACATGGACCTCAGAACTCACAGACTGTGAGTCACAGCTATATGTGGAAACCTTGAAAACCATGCTTACAGTGCGCTTTAATAATAATGACTCATATTTGGATTTTTATAAAAAAGCAATTTGAAACATAAAATTATGCCAAGCAATACGTAGTTCCTCTAAGTATGAGCCACTGATAAGTGATTTTTATTCTGTTCATTTTTTGTTTTTGTTATGTTTTGTAGATTTTAATTTTTGTTTTTTTTGTGATATTTTCATTATACCTACATGTAGTTTGTCTAGCAAGAAATATTTTTTTTTATATTTGTATTATTTCCCAGAAAAATTTTATCCCCCCCCCATTTATTGCTGCATATTGTGTTCCGATTTCTTTTTGAACGAATCTGGTCACCTTATCTTTAAGGTCATTAAACAATACTTTGGTATGATATTAATACCAACGTGCTACCAAGAGTTTCAAATTTCCAATTTATGTAATTATTTTTTTTTGATTGAGTCGAAATTTATAACGCGTATTTTTTTATAATATTATTTTAGTCTCGAAAAAAATAATATAAAATTATTGAAAAAACTGTATTGTTATTAAAACTGTCAATTTAGTTTTAACTCGTTTATTAACAATGTAGAATAATAGCAAGTACGTTACAAAATGCAAGTCGCCATTTTCTGATTCCCAATTGACATGTCCACGTTGCACCGTCTTCTTATAGATGGCGCCGTTGTCGGGGCAAGATTGCCTACTTACACATCTCCCTCCTAAAGATCGAGCTTCTCTGGGGCACGTCTTTGTAACCTCAACTCGAGGGCTATGGCTAACGGCAGCTTTACAGTGGTGAGATGGGTCGATGGGCTAATGTTGTTCCTCAATACTTACGTGCATAATTCCGAAAGAAAACCAAAAAATAAAAATGGGCGCCAGTGTCTCATTTGGGCCTGTTGGTAAAGTCCCCATAAGCCAGACACTTAATGGGCATAAGGGCAATTAAAAAAAAAGTCAAGTTTAAAAATTATTAAGTATAATAAAATTTGGTTATCACCGTTGTTAAGGTGATTTCATTTGAAAATGATTATGATTATTAGGACATTTAATTATGTTATTGGTGCACCCTTATATGGCCATATATGGTTTACAAAGAACCAAATTCGATATGACTAAATTTAACATGAGTAAAATTTTACTGGTAATATAAATAAAAACTTTAGTTACGATAAAGAAAGGTTGAAGACCAAGTGTAGTGAACACTGTTTCTTGAAACATTACTATAACTTAAAAGTGGTTACGACCTGATTAGCTTGAGGTCTGGTGGATCCTGGAGAATTAGGAATCCTACGTAGTGGTTCTCTTGTTGACTCAAAAGTTGGTTTTGACGCCAAAACAGTCAAGGAAAACTCCCATAAAAACTGGTTGAACGAATTTAAAATGGTACAGGAATGGTAAGACATCCTTACTTAAAATCTGTACTTAAAATCCGTACTTAAAACCCTAAAATAACATAAAGATGCCTCAGCATTCAGTAACTACAGTCTTCCAGACTGACCCTTGTTCTAAGGAGTTTTTTTAACCAATAACGTCACGACCGCATGGAGACTAGGTCAACAAAAAAATATATTGGATTCAACAACCACCTAAAGTGGAGAACCGCGTGGGTAAAAAAATAGGTTCAGCAACAAGTTAATAACTCACCCTGAGCTCATCGTACCACACGAAAAGTGCTTTAGTCGGAAGTATTACAATTAGATTGAGAGATTTACCACGTATTATTGGAACTTTTCCATAATTTAAGCACAGACTTAACTCTCATCTAATTGCTTAAAACGACCAAATCGAAAAGGAAAACATAAACCTTATTAAGTGCGTAGAAGATTATTTAAACAAAAAAATACAATGTTGCCAAGATGTTGTGAATGTTGTCGAGAAGACTAAAAACAAATGAGTGTTCTGGGTTGCATACTATCAAAACCAGGTAATAAACAAAATAATAACAATAATTAAATTCTTTTGGAAAAAAGCAACTAAACAAATATCCTTATTAAAAATATACTTAACAATTAGTCAAACTAAAAATAAACCACTTAACAGTTCACATCTATACCGTTATAGATGTACAAAAACTAATAAAATAAAATCAATGGGTAACTGTCAAAATGACGGTTACACTTTTTCGGGTGGACCTTCGGAGCGGTTCTTGATTTGAAGGAAGCGGTTCTGGACCTGACGGGAGCGGAGCTTCGGGTTCCACTTGTTCGGCTACGTCTTGACTTGTATCGTTTGGTTTCATTTCAGTCTATTCCGAACAACGTATGACCTGGGAGAGTCATGTACTTCGCTAACTATCCCGTTTTTTCTTAAATATGAGATCCAAACTTTCTGTCCAATTGGAATTTCTGGTAAGGCAAGGGCTCTGTGTCTGTTATTATAGTGTGATTCTGCCTTTTCTCGTTCTTCTTTTTCTTTTTCGAGAAGTTTTCATAATTCGGTGTGTTTGGTACCAATTTGCTGGAGGCCACAGGGACGACACCTAATTTTCTACCCATCAATAATTCTGATGGAGTAAATCCATTTGGCAGGGATGTGGAACGTAGTGCCAGCAGCATTTTGTAAGGGTCTTCACTATTCTTAAAGTGAGTTTTAAAATTTTTCACGTGCACCTCACTAAACCCATTACTTTGTGAGTATTTTGGGCTGGATGATATTATTTTGAATCCGTAGTATTTGGAGAATTTATAGTAATCGGAACCAATTGTTTGCGAGTATTTTCGCTTCCAACCACCTCGAACACCATGCCTAGCAAAAATTGACTTCAAGTGAATGATAACACTTTCAGAGGTTAAATTGTCTGACTTAGCCACTTCTATGTACAGGCAGCATTGTTATTGAAACTTTTGGTATTGTTAGTTTTATTGGAATTTTTAGGATACGACTTAAATTGCTTGCTTCGATTAACTTTCTTTACACTTACAGCTGCACCTCTAAACGTTTCTTGATGCAGTGCCTTATGCAATAAGCGTTCCTCGACGTGTTGCAGTACCATTAAGACAAGAATTAAAACTTAAATTAGAACAGATGTGTGTCAAGGATGTAATAGCAGAGGTCAACGAACCGAGCGACTGGTGCGCACCCATGGTAATCGTACCCAAGAAAAATTGTAAAATAAGAATTTGTGTTGATTTATCTAATCTAAACAAAAATGTTAAACGAGAGCAATTTCCCGTTTCTGATGTTGACACTACACTAGCACAACTAGAATGTGCAAAAATATTCTCTAAAGTAGATGCAAATAACGGATTTTGGCAAATGCCATTGGATTTAAGACAGTATGAAGCTGACAACCTTTTTAACCTTTTTAAATGGTTAATTTTTTGGAAAAATTTGTACCCAATTTGTCAAGTTTAGCGCAAACATTGTATGAACTTCTTAAGTTGGAGAACAAATGGTGCTGGTCTGATGCACAAGAAAGTTCCTACACAGAAGTAAAGGCAGCCCTTGCAAGATCACCTATCCTATGCCTGTATGACAGCAGAAAACAAACTATGCTGTCTACTGATTCATCATCCTATGGTTTAGGAGCTGTGCTCTTGCAATGTGAAAAAGAAGAAGACTTCAAACCTGTAGGCTATTGATCGCGTACTCGAACTGAAAAGCGCTACGCGCAAATCGAAAAGGAGGCTCTGGCCGATGTAACAGCTTTTTGTAATGTTAAATTTGCATCGAGCTGCAATTTCTCTGACATGACCTTATCCAAAATACCAACAACTACTTGGTCACGTATTGCCTCCTCCTGAAATCCCTCAAGAAAATCACAGGTTTTTGTTTTGCATGCAGTGCTGTAACAAAGTCTTCCACAGTTTCCCCTTCTGCTTGATATCGTGTGTGAAAACAGTACCTCTCATAAATTTATGAGAGGTACTGTTTTTGTTATTTATAATGTTTGTTCTTAGGACAAAATGTGTTTTAAATTTCTCCAACACCCTGTCAAAGTTACTGGCTTCTCCAGATAACTTAAAAGACTCAAATATTGACTCTGCTTAAGGTCCCATTAAATAAACCAAGGTTTTGGTTCAAACCTGATGCGGCTCTAAATCTTTGGAATCGTAAGTGTCATTGTTCCCAACGCTTGCCTTGAATCAGAAAGGCTCAGGGGCAGGAATCTGGTACACAGGAGCATTATTAACTTGCGTTGTAACTGGCGATACTGGTTTGATATTGCTTAGTAAATTATCCAATTTTAGTGAAGCACAGAACAAATCAACTATTACCCATATAGCTGCCACCATGTATTGTTATTGAAACTGTCAATTTAGTTTTAACTCGTTTATTAGCAATGTAGAATAATACGTATAATAGTACGTTACAAAATGCAAGTCGCCATTTTCTGATTGTTAATTTTTTATTAAACTTAAAGAAAAGTATTCTAGTATTCTACATGTACTATATTTTATATGTAGCCACCAAAGCTTTTTAAGGATGCCAATATCAATCACCACAAAGTAAGAAAATAAAAATTAAAAGCTAAAGATTTTGTTAAAAAAAAATCATTTTTTAGCCGTAATTGCTTGTGGTGGTGACGTGCTGCAAATCTCGTTCAGACAAAATAAACCTTTTATATGCAAACTATGACAGAAGAGACGCCAGTCTATGTACTCAAGGTCCAACTACAAGTTCTATTTGCTATGATGCACGCTCAAGAACGTATCTAGAGCCATACTCATAAACTTGTAGTAGGTTAAAGTAATTTTGTGAGTTTTTATTACTAATCTTTTTAGATGCAACGGCACAAACTCTTGTAGTATATCCGGTGATCACCAGATATTTATATATCCATGTGTGGTAAGTAAATGGAAGTTAGTTATTACTGCCAATAAAAAATATACATAATAAAATAAAAAATAAACTAAAATGTAAAAACTTTATTTTTTCTTAAAAATAATTTAATTATTTTATATATTCTTCTTAATATACACTAATTAAATAACAGGACTAATCTCTATAATAAAGGTACGTATTTGCATTGGATGTAAGGTAATTTTAAGATCTGCCAGGTTATCCTGCTTAACTTCTCTTTTAACATTATTAATAGTTTCTGAATCACTTTCTTCATATTTTATACGACTTTCCAGTTGCTCTTTGCTTAGAAAAGATTTATCAATTAATGATTCAATACTATCAGAAGTATCAAAAACGAGTCTTTCGTTCTCTTCAATCCATTGGTTTCCACCTAAGGTGGTTTCTTTTATTGTTTTGATGTTAAATGAACTAAATAATCCCTAAAAATAATTTAAATGTTTAAAAAAATATGATTTTTATGTAATATTACCTTTAAGTCGACTTCGGCTATTTTAGATAAAGTGGGATCTTCATTTTTCTCTAAAACATGCTCTAGACGTAGCAAGAAAGTATAAGCCGCCCATGGTTCTAGAGTAAGAATTTGAACATTATCAGGCAATGCACGGTTTAATCCAGAATACTTAAAATTAAATCAACATTAATATAACAACTATTTAAATATATTTATTTTAAACATACTTCCCATACATGGCCCGCGTTTATTTTATCAATAGGATTAGACCCAGGAGCCAAAAATGTCCAGGCGTTTAATAGTTTTTTCTGAGCAATATCTCTTTCAATAGCAGCAATACTCTTACCTAAGCAATAACATTAATATAGTAAATATTTATATTTTATATTTTTTAGTATATCTACCCGAGTTGCTAGTAATATTTCCGAAAACCAACCAGTGCGTTCCTCTTGCAACTAAACCTCTATCAAAAGCTTCCTCAATTAAAGGTTCACCAACTCCAAAAGCATCATCGTGCATGCAATTTCTATGGATCTAAAAATACATATTAACGCCCCAAACTTTATTTATCCTAAACATGTTACCATTAATTCTATTTGCCCGTCTTTCAAACTAGATCCTCCTTGAGCTCTATCATTCAAAACTGCAACTTCTATATTTTGAGATGGGTCCCTTATTAAAATTTTAGAGGTAACAGGATAATAATTTCCGGATATTGGTTCTTGTAAAGAAACGGACCAAGTTGGTCTGAAGTTTCTTACTCTTTTTAGCATCTCTCTACCATTGGAGTCAGTATAAAATACACCATTTGATTTAAGATTTGTTTTATACCTTGTAATTACCTCTTTACCATATTTGGAGCTACATTAATAATATTTTAGTATAATAGTTATATTTTTACCTATGGTTTAATAACTTACTTCACAGGAAGAGGTCCAACAACCCAATCAAATTCAATAAAATTGTCAGTTGCATAAACTCTAATAATCTGGCTAATGTATTCATTAAATATTTGATGAACTTCCCCTACCAAAGGCCCGATATAAACCTGGACTTTTGCTTTTTGTGTTGCTTTTAAAGCAACATTTGACCTTGGTCTGAATATATAGGCTCCAGAAGAACGATTGGCGAAAACCTCATTATTTCCTACAAAGCCTTCATAGTATAGAAATTCTTGTGATAAAGGAATTTCGACGTTGTTTAAGGAAGCTCTTACGATAAACCCTGTTTCTTTGTCTATATCAAACACGGCATTCTAAAATAAATAGATTAGTTTTATGCTAAATATTTTTGAGTTTTTCTAACGCCAAGCTTATGTTGTTGTCTCAATGGGGATTGTTTAATTATTTTATTTCCTTCGATTCTTGTAACGTAAACAGTTTTAAAGCCAAGTGGTGGCAACTCTAAAGCAAATATTAGTTCAACAGTTGCTTCACTTTTTCTTCCAGGAATTGTAAGGATTGGTTCAGCTATTGGTATAATTTGTGATTTAAGTTCTTTTCCTATAAAAAAATGAAAAATTTGTACCCAGCGAAGCATTAATAAGTTATTAATTTTCTTACTATTTGGGTCCATTACGGTATATGCTGACCCTAATACAGGTAATCTAACGTACTTAGTAACGGGTCTGCTAAGAGGATTATATACGGTGACTATGAAGTTCTTTTCTACTTCAGATATAGGACATGAGCTTACATTACTTAACAAACACGATTTAAAAGGTAATATTTTTGGTTCTCCTTGAACTTGTTTACTACTCGACGTAAAAATTATTTTGCTAAAAAAGAGAAGTTTATAAATACAATTTTTATAATATTATTTATATTTACCTTAAGGCAGTTTTAGTAATATTTTCACATTCCTCAAAACCTTTAGTCAAAATTCTTGCGTAGTCATGAGCAACATGCTCTTTTTCTGTACCAGTTACAGCATCATGATGTTGCATTACACCCATGGCTTCTCTTAAAACGTTTAGATCCACCCAATCTTCCGGTCCCAAATCTGCTAAAGCGTATAATTGTTTGCAAACCTAAAATAAAATGTAGTAATATACTTTTAAGAATATAAGTCGATAGGTTTACTTGTAGAAAATTGTTTCCTTCCCTTTCGAATCTTTTAATCGTTGGTCTTGAAGTAAAGTATCCAGTCCAAAAGGAGTGTGGATCTGATGCGTATGGGAAGAAATCATCACTTTTGGTAAGCCACTTCTTCTTTCCTTTAGTTTCATCATAAACTGCTTTAACGTAGCACGAGGGTGTAGAATATATTAAATTATATTTGGAACCAAACGCTTGCCTTTCATTTGCATATCTATAAAAAAAGTTATTAATATTTTTAAACTTTATAGTTTACAATTTAACCTACTTGATAAGTAAATCCATGTTTTTAAACCAAACATTCGCATCTTGATAATTAAAGTCTTCTCCCATAGTGACTATGACATTATTGGTGGCGTATCCCTTCGTCATATTCTTAATTTGAGCGAAAAAATCATCTACTCTCTTATTCACATTGTAATCAGGGCTCTTTTTGTCATCAATAATAGGATCATCGGAACAAAGAATATCAAAACAAAATCCTTTTGGAGGGGAGTATGTGTTGTACATAGCCCCAGTAAATATATGAGCTTTCTCTCCTAAATTGTTACTTCCTTTCCAAACCATTTCGGCCGTTTGAGAATTTAATCTAACTGATTTTTCCTGATAATCTATTCTACCAAGTAAAAATCCATCGAAACCGAGTTGGGCAAATATTGAGGCCATTTCTCTGCTGTGACCGAATGGATCAATTTGCCAGCCGATTTTAGGTCTTCCGCAGCTTCCAAAGGACTCATTTAATTTTCTAAAAAATGGTATGCATGATATACTACTATAAGGTTAGATACAGTTTTTAATGCTTATGATCTAATTTATCTTATCAGATCACCCATTAATTCATGTCACACAAATTGCTTAGGTTATTTTATTAAAAGAAGGGTACTAAATTTATAATTTTAATACAATTAATTAATTATTATTTGTTTACCTTAATCCCCAAGAAAATTGATCAATAATTGATTGGTAGTGAGTGGCTGCTTCGTCATTCATACTCCAACCACCGCCTATAAATTCAAGTTGGCCATTGTTAACTAATCTTCTTACAGTTGACTTAACTCTGTCATGTTGTTTAATCCACCATTTCCAAAAGTAAGCAGTTTCAACATAAATAAAACTACAAATACGATTTTTAAATTAAATTAAACTAAGTATTTTCAAACCTACCGTCTATTAGGGTCTTTTTTAAGTGAATCGATGACGGATTCAATAATGTATTGAACTCCTGCATTTTGAATGTTGGTCCGACCTAATAAAAAATACATTTACGTTATAAAGCAATATATTATTTAAAAATATATAAATAAAACTAACTAAACAACCAATCCCCATTGGAAACTCTTCGACCTGAAATTTGAAATGGCATAATATAGTCATACCTTATTTAAAAACGTCTTGTTCTCCTGACTAAAAAATTCAATCTCCATCCAAACGTTTTTCAAATATATAAAATGTAAGATTTCTTTTTTAAACACTAAACTACATAACAATTTTTTGCAGAATAAATAATGAGAATAGTAGAACATTTAAACAAAATTTATTAATCTATTGATGTAAACACAAAAATACAAAATTTGTTCAAAACGCCTTCTAACGTTTTGAAAGTTGGCATTTATCCACGATAAATTGTGGCAACTCTTGTAAAGACCCCTGGTCTGTGGGGTGAATTTTACCTTTTAAATTGCCCCATATGAAAAAGTCTAGAGGAGTTCGAATTAAAATCTAACCTGCCGATCCAAAGCTCCAATCCATTGCCCAGAAAACACAAATATATAAAATGTAAGATACAACAGTGCATTTCCTTTCTTTTTCAAACACTACATAACCAAACAATTTTTTGCAGAATAAATAATGAGAATAGTAGAACATTTAAACAAAATTTATTAATCTATTGATGTCAACACAAAATTTGTTCAAAACTCCTTCTAACGTTTTGAAAATTGGCATTTATCCATGATACATTGTGGCAACTCTTGTACAGACCCTTGCTCTGTGGGTGAATTTTACTTTTTAAATGGCCCCATACGAAAAAGTCTAGAGGAGTTCGAATGAAGATCTAACCTGCCGATCCAAAGCTCCAATCCATTGCCCAGAAAACACTCGGTCCAAAAACCCTCTCACACGCATTACATCTTTTTTGGAAAATCTATCGACCAGTAAGGAATGAACCACATATTTTAGTTAATGAATATACGTTCCTCCTCTTGGGTTACTATAAAGAAAAATGGGTCCAACTAGACTATCTCCGAAAATACCCATCAAAAAATTAAGTTTTTTAAGAACTTTAACCCTTTCACTACGGGGCTCGCCCGCGCCATGTGGTCCCCCCATACGGGCAAATCCAAGCCTTGCGCAAACGTGCGTTTCCCGCTCTCAGGAACAAACTCAACTTCGTCTTCGTCACTATTATACATATAGCGCCTGCTCCAGCTCTTTATCAGTAAGGTATATCTTACTCATTGTTGCTAATTTAATATATTTTATAACAAATTATTGCAAATAAACTGCATTTATGCCACCCCGAAATCGTTTTGCGGCAAACTAACCTAAATGTTATTAGAGCGGAAAACGGTTCCGCCAGCGCGACAAAGACCGTCTAATTGTATCGATGTAGACGCAAACGTGTGTTTTCCGTCGTTAATAGTGACTCCACCTAATTGAAAAAATGCGTCTCCCGCGTATCTGTGAGGTCAGTAATTTACGCATTTTTGCGACTCCCGGAGTGAAAGGGTTAAATGTAGACTTCGTGAAAACCTTTGGATTTGCATCTGACCCCTAGTGACAATAATGTCGATTGACAGTTGAGTTGAGAAAAAACGCACACTCTTCTGAAAAACAGATGTTGAAAGCTATTTTTTAGTCATAGTTTTGTAAAACTCCAGATGCTACGGCGCCGGTCAAAATCATGGACTAAATGAATCTTGTATTTATGAGATCCAAAAATCCGTTATATGGTCGTTCTAGGAATGTTAGTTGCCGTAGTTAATTTACTCGTGGTCAATGTTAGGTCAGCAACAACTTAAACCTCTTAGCTTTATTCCTTTATTTTTTTTCGCTTCTGCTCCTGTTTTTCTCCAAAACGAATTTTCTATTCTCAGGCCTACCCGGACGGTTTTCATTAAATAAATCTGCTGGACGTTTTCTGCACTCATTATTTAAAAAATCATTAAATACTGTAGTAAGTTGAACTAATTTTGTCCGCTAAAGACTTTTCTTATGGTTCAATAAGTTTTCTTATTTATTATTGGAATGCGTTGTCGCAAATTTTAAATAGCTCTAAAATTATGGATATAACCTAAATCATTTTTGTGATCCCCATGGAACCAAGACGTTTCAAATGAAATATTATTTCCCTTATCATGCAATTTAATGTTTTAGGGGTTGTAACCACTGCGCGAAGAGGTAAAGCGATTTGCAAGTCAAGATGGTGCATATTTGGTTAAATACATTATATTTAAAATTAGATTATTTTTTATATTATGTGAAAAATTCGACGCAAAATATATTTTTATTTACTTACTTCCATAATAATATTGATCGACTGTTTTTAACCAACCGACATCATCGTGGGTATGAGGAACCAGGTGAACATTAATAAAACCCTCTTTAACAGGGTGACATGACTAAAAAGTAAATTAAGCTTACTATATTAAATTATTGTTTCTTAAGTTTACTTGGTATCCACAGGTTTTTGTTGGTGGTCTGGGAGTTGTTGTTGTTGAAGTTGTTAGGATTGTTTCAGTGGTAACAATATTAATGCTGCCCAGTATTGTACAAACTACAAATAATTTTAAATCCATAATTCTTCTTCTTGATGTAGCATATTCTAAAAAAAACTCTGGTATGTAGATTACTGAACAAGCCATTAACAATACACTTATTTAAAATATCTTTTAACTTCTTGATTACTTGACTTTGTATAATAAAATAATATAACGATTTAGGGCGTATTATGTGTTGCTTTTTTAAAAAGAAGTATTTTTATTCTACAGCTAGCAAAGTAATGGTGCGCGTTGAAAAAATATTTTTTGCATATCATTAATAAATTTATTTCAACTAGCTTCTATACAGTATCCCGAAATCGGCACACTAACGTATAAAAAAGCTACTCAAACAAGTTGATATTCTAGAGGAATTGTCACCTGGTTTGTATACATACCCTTTCCCATATTGAAATTCTACATATATATTCGTCTTTAATGTATTAAAGTTTATACATTTGGTTTTAGGAAACAAATACCTCAATTCGTTTAAGTATTTTAACGAAGTAGTTTCCAGTTGCTTTGGGCAAACTCTAAGTATAAGTTATGCCGAAAATATTCAACGTTTCGCAGTAGAACTTTCTAAAGTCGGAGTACGGTAGGGGAGACCGGGGAGAACTCGGGCACGGGGAGACAATGGACAGTTTTAATCTTCCGCTATATCGGGTATTAGTTGGCCCAACTGCCACAATAATGTATAGTGGAACAGTGTTGCTTTGTTGGTAATGAATCATTATTTTCAAAAACAACAAAAGACTCACATATCTATCGTTACTAATGATAGATATGTGAGTCTTTTGTTGTTTTTGAAAATAATAAATGTTTTCGGTTTTTCATTTATTTGATGTAATATTTTACATCACTTTTGGAAGGAATATCTTATTTTTGTAAAATTCAATTATTTCGCGATCAAGTTATTAATCGATATGGCTTGGCAGCCAACGACATATATAATCTAGATGAGGTAAAGGTGTATGATTAACGTCATTGTTATTTTTAAAATATTTTTTTTCAAGTCTGGAGTGACCACAGTCCCAAAATTACCAAAAGTTGTTGCTAAAAAAGGACAGCATCAAGTTGGCCAGAAGGTGTCAGAGGAAAGAGGAGAACTCATTACTCATGTTGGAATCATATGTGCAGATGGAAGTTCATTACCACCAGTCTGGGTATTTCCTCGAAAGCGATTTGACAAAAAGAAAATGATGTCAGGAGTGCCTGAACAAGGTCCTTTGGGACTCGTCCATCTGGATGGATGAAATCTGACATTTTTATTAAGGTACTTGAACATTTAGTAAAACATGCCAGATGTTCGAAAGAAAAAAAGATTTTGCTGATAATGGATAACCACGAGTCCCATTTGTCACTTGAAGGACTTGACTATGGCAGAGTTAATGGTATTGTTATCTTGACCTTGCCACCCCATACTTCGAACAAATTACAGCCCCTTGACCGCTCTGTCTTTGGACCGTTCAAAACCTATGTGGGACATGCTGCAGATTCGTGGATGACGGCTCACCCTGGGCAAACTCTTACAATTTATGATCTGCCTGCGCTGTCAGCTAGCTTGGAATCGGGCAGCAAATCCAGTGAATGTGAAAAACGGCTTTCGATGCACAGGCGTTGTCCCATTTGATAAAGATGTATTTCAAGAGGAGGATATTTTGAGAGCTCATGTCACGGATAGACCAGAACCAGCACAAAATCAAGCTGTAGAAAATATTGATACAGAAAACCAAGAAGCAAGTGTAGAAATTACTGTTGCAGACATACAAAAACCAAATAGGAAAAAAGTTTTTCGTCTCGCCTCACCCGCTTCCTTTCCCCCCTATTTGAGATAATCTACTATAATTTATCGAAAAATGGATAATATAGATTCATATAGTTTTAAAATATTCTTTAAAACATTTCTTTAATTACAAATTGCAATAATTTCTTTGTCATTGCTTCAAATAGCCCAAGTAAAATTTTTTAAGAAAGGTAGTTTTAATAATGGTTTTAATATGGTTTTATTGTTGCCCCAAAAAGAGACGCTGTTTTATTTAGGCAACATATTTTTTTTTAATGAGACTGCAGGATAAAATACTCTTAAATAATTTTTATTTGTTAGTTATTGTACATTCACATGCACCATTTTATTGGTTTAAGCTAAAACATTATCATCAATGTTTCATAATGATTTTATGACTAGTCCAAATTAAGGTGCATAATTAAATCGGTCAATCACTGATGCTATTTCATAATAATTTATTATGTGCCTATCCTTAATCAATCAATTTAGGGTCAATCCATAATATAAGGGCAAATATTTACAGGATTGCAGAATTAAGTACCTACGTGAATTTTAAAAATATTTTAATTATCGTTAGACTAAACCTAAATTCAGCAGAAACATGTTTTTTTCTACTTTCACCTTTAAAAAGGGCGTTTCGTACATGTTTCCATGACACCAAGTGACCTTTTAAATACACATTGACAAGTTGTGGCTTTATGGCCTTTTAGTCACGGGCTGAAGTAAGTTTTAAGTTAGTTGACAGTTGTCAAATGTCAAGTTATTTTATTATCTCAATACAAAAAAAATATTAAATAGTTTCTCAGCGCCAATTTTTGAAAATGTTATATAAACATTGTACTGGCCTTTTAATTTCGCCGGCAGTAAACTAGATTTAACTTAATTTCGGGTGGATAGTCCACCGTGGAGTGCCAATAAAAGCTTTTTTTTACTTTTACTCAGGGACCCGGACCGGACCGTTTTTGGACAGAAAACCGAACCGGAACCGATATTTATTTGTGAACCCGAACCGTAACCGAACGCATATTATTTTTAAACGTAATGCTAGTGACCGAACCCGGTCGGTTTTTTTTCTTAATTTCTTTTTGCACAAATATATTTTGTTTCGTTGAAAAAAATCTATAAAATTAGTTTTTGCAAAAAAATATTTGAGCACGGGCTAAAAATCTATAAATTATACACTCTAGCACAAGTATTATTAGGGATTCCTTCTGTGTTAATAACAATAATTGTAAATGTTGTATAAATAATTATTGTAAATGTAAATTAAAATAACTTTATTGGAAAAAGAAAGATGTCATATGTATACACATATATTAGATAGTAGTAGGCAACACTGTAATTAATAAACCCGAAAGCGATTTGACAAAAAGAAAATGATGTCAGGAGTGCCTGAACAAGGTCCTTTGGGACTCGTCCATCCTTCTGGATGGATGACATCTGACAATTTTATTAAGGTACTCGAACATTTAGTAAAACATGCCAGATGTTCGAAAGAAAAAAAGATTTTGCTGATAATGGATAACCACGAGTCCCATTTGTCACTTGAAGGACTTGACTACGGCAGAGTTAATGATATTGTTATCTTGACCTTGCCACCCCATACTTCGAACAAATTACAGCCCCTTGACCGCTCTGTCTTTGGACCGTTCAAAACTTATGTGGGACATGCTGCAGATTCGTGGATGACGGCTCACCCTGGGAAAACTCTTATAATTTATGATCTGCCTGCGCTGTCAGCTAGCTTGGAATCGGCAGCAAATCCAGTGAATGTGAAAAACGGCTTTCGATGCACAGGCGTTGTCCCATTTGATAAAGATGTATTTTAAGAGGAGGATTTTTTGGGAGCTTATATCACGGATAGACCAGAACCAGCACAAAATCAAGCTGTAGAAAATATTGATACAGAAAACCAAGAAGCAAGTGTAGAAATTACTGTTGCAGACATAGAAAAACCAAATGGGAAAAAAGTTAGTTTTTCGTCTCGCCTCACCCGCTTCCTTTCCCCCCTATTTAAGATAATCTACTATAATTTATCGAAAAATGGATAATATAGATTCATATAGTTTTAAAATTCTTTAAAACATTTCTTTAAGAGTATTTTATCCTGCAGTTGCCTTAATAAAACAGCGTCTCTTTTTGGGGCAACAATAAAACCATATTAAAACCAATATTAAAACTACCTTTCTTAAAAAATGTTACTTGGGCTATTTGGGTTGGAAGCAATGACACACAAATTATTGCAATTTGTAATTAAATAATTGTTATTTGTTAGTTATTGTACATTCACATGCACCATTTTATTGGTTTAAGCTAAAACATTATCATCAATGTTTCATAATGATTTTATGACTAGTCCAAATCAAGGTGCATAATTAAATCGGCCAATCACTGATGCTATTTCATAATAATTTATTATGTGCCTATCCTTAATCAATCAATTTAGGGTCAATCCATAATATAAGGGCAAATGATTACAGGATTGCAGAATTAAATACCTACGTGGATTTTAAAAATATTTTAATTATCGTTAGACTAAACCTAATTCAGCAAAAACATGTTTTTTTCTACTTTCACCTTTAAAAAGGGCGTTTCGTACATGTTTCCATGACACCAAGTGACCTTTTAAATACACATTGACAAGTTGTGGCTTTATGGCCTTTTAGTCACAGGCTGAAGTAATTTTAAGTTAGTTGACAGTTGTCAAATGTCAAGTTATTTTCTTATCTCAATACAAAAAAAATATTAAATAGTTTCTCAGCGCCAATTTTTGAAAATGTTATATAAACATTGTACTGGCCTTTTAATTTCGCCGGCAGTAAACTAGATTTAACTTAATTTCGGGTGGATACTCCACCGTGGAGTGCCAATAAAAGCTTTTTTTTACTTTCACTCAGGGACCCGGACCGGACCGTTTTTGGACAGAAAACCGGACCGGAACCGATATTTATTTGTGAACCCGAACCGTAACCGAACGCATATTATTTTTAAACATAACGCTAGTGACCGGTTTTTTAGGTTGTTTTCGGTTTTTTTCTTAATTTCTTTTTGCACAAATATATTTTGTTTCGTTGAAAAAAAACTATAAAATTAGTTTTTGAAAAAAAATATTTGAGCACGGGCTAAAAATCTATAAATTATACACTCTAGCACAAGTATTATTAGGGATTCCTTCTGTGTTAATAACAATTGTAAATGTTGTATAAATAAGTATTGTAAATGTAAATTAAAATAACTTTATTGAAAAAAAAAGATGTCATATGTATACCTACACAT